CCTTACGAGGAAAATATTACCACGCCTTTACGAGGAAAGCTTTCCTCGTAAATTCGCTACAACCTTACGAGGAAAATGTCTTTACGATGAACGTGTTTCGAGGAAACGCGTTTCCTCGTAAGTTCCTAGTAAAAGGCCATTTACTAGGAACTAACGAGGAAAACCCGTCCTAGTAATGGACGAGTTTTCTTGTAGTGTAGGTATAGAGTCGGCTAGGGGTAGTCTGTAATTATATGAATCTTCTGGGCTTGAGTTGGTCTTGAAATAAAGTCATCCCGTCTACTCGGGCGGGTGTCGATCAATACCAAGAGGTTAGTTTCGATTAACACTTCTCTTGAATCTGGACTCTGACTTTGATTTCTTCAACAGCAATGAGTTTCCTAAACACTAAGCTCTAGAATGCTCCATAATCTCCACATTGCTCATAACATACCTTAACGTGAAAAGATTCTAAATAGACCTCAAACACATATAGTAGACTCTAAATATAATATGGGTGAAAACTTGTAAAATCCATACTATATCAACTAGGTAGGTCACTACTTAAGTGTGGTTGAAGGGGCCAAGTAGAGAACTTATTGGCTTAGTAGATTATGTATTGGAAAGAGAGAAGATATGAGCTTTTGATTGAACAACTTGTAGGAGCTACCAATTACAAGGATGTTCAACCAGAACAAGATGGACAACAAGAACATGACCAACACTTGGCAGGAGCTTGTGACTAGGATCAGCTTACGGCATGGACGAGAAGGCGATAGTGGATTGGTCAACAATAGAACTAAAGAAGGAGCTAACAGACACATTTTCATCGCCCAAGTGGGTTTAAGGAACAAGTCCAACGGTTGGAAAATGTAAGGGTTGAGTATGTGTTGGAAAATTGCAATTCTATATATCTTAGAAATTCAGATAAACCCTATAAAACCCCAAATTTAATAAGCGAAACTACTCATACATGATTAAGCAAAGCATAACAATAACCTGAATAAAATGCATGCATAGATAGTGTAGAAAAACTTGAGTATCAAAACAAATCTTTGAAGCGGCCTTGAAATTCTCTCCAAAACTAAATACTCTAAAAGCTTTTAAGTATGGTGGAATAATTTGTGGGTGGTTAATGTTGGTGCGTGTCCCAACCAATGGCAAACACACATAAATACTAGGTTTGCAGTCGGCTAGGGCTAGTCTTGTAATTATGTGGATCTTCCGGGCTTGAGTTGGTCTTGAAAGAAACTCAGCCCATATATTCGAGCGGGTGTCGATCGATACCAAGAGGTTAGTGTCTATTCTGATTTCTTCAACAGCTATGAATTTTCTCATCACTAACTTCCAGAATGCTCCATAATCTCCACATTGCTTCAAATAGCTGGACCTGAGAACACTATAAATAGACTCCAACACATATAATAGACTCTAAATATAATATGGGTAAAAAATTATACAATCCATACAATATCAACTAGCTAGGTCACTACTTAAGTAAGGTTCAAAGGGCCAAGTAGGGAACTTATTGGCTTAATAGATTATGTACTGGAAAGAGAGAATATAAGAGGTTTTGATTGAACAACTTGTATCAGCCATCAATTACAATGATGTTCAACCAGAACATGACCAACACTCATCAGGAGCTTGTGACCAGGATCAGCTTACAGCATGGACGAGTGGGCGAGAGTGGATTGGTCAACATTAGAACTAAAGGAGCTAATAAACACATTTTCATCATCCAAGTGGGTTTAAGAAACAAGTCCAACGGGTTGGAAAATGCTAGGGTTGAGTATGTGTTAGAGATGATCGAATCAAGGCTTTTTAAGCCTAAGAAGAGGAAGGATCGATCAACTTGGTTTACGTTGGACGATCTACTTAATTTATATGTATTAGGATTTATTATGATGTAAACCAATTAGGAACATGTTTAGTTATGCAATAAACAACCTAGCTAGAATTAGGATTGGGAATTGTTGTTCGGTAACAATTAGGGCTACGATAATGGTTTCTTATTATTATTATGATTATGTTCTAGATGATGGATATGCATTTTGTGTGGACTAATATATACCGCTAATGAATATTAATTCTAACTAGAACTTGACCCGCACCCCCGTGCGTGTGTTTAATTTAACTTGTGTTTAACGTAAATTCATAAACTGTTGGTTTTTTACAATTTTTTTTTATGTTTTGTAATTTACATATAAAGTAAAATATATTATTGTATAATATAAATATTTAATAATAATTTTTATTTGTACATAGTAGTATATTAGAAATTTTATAATTTGATGCAATTTGATATAATCGTACTATTCATATACTAACATGTTGTTTTTTGTTAATTTATTTTAAAATAAAACAACATACTAAAAATTATTTTTTTGAATTAGTTTTCTATGAATTATCATTAATGTTATGATATTTTTTTTAAATTGAACTCACACAATTTTATATTTGAATAAATTAAATAAGGTAATATTATATTTCGGTTTGTGTTTTTATTTTCATCACAGTGAAAGAAAAATCATTGATCAAAATATTTTCTATAGTAGTAAACAAATTTTTATTAGCCAACATGAATATTTAAACCAGTCAGTTCTTGTAGTTGTAGCTTGAAAAGAATCTCAATGACACTGAAAGTTTAGAGTAGATAATAGTTTAGATTAGATAGAGTTAGACTCATTTGGTAAAACTAATAATCGGATGATGTGTCCTGAAAAATTATTTGTATTAGATCAAAGATTGAATGAATAATAAACATAAGAGATCTCATCTATTGATTAACAAGATTATCGTCAACAAAATCATTGTTATATTAAAATGTTTGTTTATATAGCAATTTCTATTTTAATGTAATGGTTTATTTCTATTGATCTTTGTATTTTGTTGTTATAAGTATTTGCCAAGAAAAAAATATCTACGCAATTTATGTTTATCGAATTTGAAACAACGATCAATATAAATCCTATAGTGTGTTAATTATAGTGTTAATTTTAGGCCCATAAAGTTGGGCTATTATATAAAGTCATGATTATCGCAGTATACAAATGGAGTTTTAAAGGTGTGGATCCCGTATATTTTTAAAAAAATCGATTGCAAAAGTCACAAGATTAAAGTCGATTTTGGGTAGTTTTTTGTATTGTTTGCAGTCTCCACTAATATGTGATTGTCTGCAGTTGGTTCTCTTTTAATTTTTTTTAAATCAGACAAAACAAAAAGAAAGTTTTAAGAAACCCAAAAAAAGTTAAGTGATTTAGTGAACTACCCATATTTGAAGTTCAAATTAGCAAAATACTATTGATTGGACATGAATGACACTGACACAACCATTTGGCAAAGAAATGCCGAGAATGCCCTTTCTCTTTCCTCTCATTAACACGGAGCGTAAAAACAGTTATTAACATATAACACTTCTGTTAACGTCTACAATATTAGTTAACAGCCAACACATTTATTACCGCGAAGCGTGAAAATAATTGTTAACAGTTAACACTTCTGTTAACGTCTACAATATTTGTTAACAGCGAACACATTTATTAACGCGAAGCGTAAAAATAATTGTTAACAACTAACACTTTTGTTAACGTCTACAATATTTGTTAACCGCTAACACGACGTCGAATCTAAAACCCAGAAAATTGATATCATCAAAAAATTGAGGATTCAAAGCCACTTATAAAAAAAAATAATGAAATTTAAAACTTAATTGTATATAGAATGATAGAGATTTGTAAAATAATTCGGGATTAGAGAGAAAAAAAAAGGTCAAAATTGAGGATTCAAAGCCACTTATGAAAAAATAATGAAATTTAAAATTTAATTGTATATAGAATGATAGAGATTTGTAAAATAATTAGGGATCGAAGAGAGAGAAAAAAGAGGGAAAATGTCAAAAAGAGGAGAGAGAGTGTAGAGAAGGGCAAAATGGTCCAAAGGAAAGTGATTGTCACATCATGGACAATTCTCTAATTATAAGTGTCAAATAGGACACTTTAGCCAATTAACTCAAAAAAGTTTCATCCATAATCCTGCTCTAATAGGCTGCAACCTTATGCGAAACAGCTACATCCAACGTGGCATTACTGCATTTGTTGGTCACTTTTGATTATATGACAGTCACTAACCATTAATGTCTTTCGCTTACAAAAAAAGCGGGGATTTTTCTTAAACACTCTGCGACACACATAGCAAAGAGAAACAGAGAGAAGAAGATAAAGCAAAAGCATGGCAACGATTAATTCAACGGTCATGATTCTCTCTACCAAATCAATCCCAAAGATCACGGGTTCACAACTCGGAGTTAATGTTTCCGATCAGACCGCCGGTTTCTCTCCCAACGTAGTGAAATGCTTCAGTTCCTCCTCTTGCCGGAGATTGAAGTTAGCGAAGTTGGTATCTGCGGCTGGACTGTCGCAGATCGAACCCGATATTAACGAAGACCCCATTGGTCAGTTCGAGCTCAACAGCATTGAAATGGTAAGATTAGAACCAGAGTTCGTGGCCTGTTGGTGAAAGCTTCTTCTTTTTTTTTGTTGGTGAAAGTTTGTGTGTTCTAAAGGGGGGTTTCGTTTCTGGTTTGGTTGCAGGAGGATTTCAAGTATGGGTATTACGATGGAGCCCATACTTATTACGAAGGGGAAGTTGAAAAGGGTTGTTTTTTTAGTTTTAATCTTGGATTCTTCTTTCTTCTTGTTTCAGTTTGTTGAATCTTTTTGAAGGTTTTTGTTCTTCTTCAGGAACGTTTTGGGGAGCCATTGCAGATGATATTGCTGCTGTAGATCCTCCATCAGGGTTTCAAGGTTTAATCTCTTGGTTGTTTCTTCCTGCCATTGCTGCTGGGATGTACTTTGAGGCTCCGGTAACTTCATAACCTGTGCCTTCTTCCATAAATTTTTTCTCACGATATGCAACTCTGAGATATTCCGATCAAACCCATAAAAGCTAAGACACGGTGGTCAACTTGAACAAGTATCAGCTGCTCATGTCTTAAATTTTAACTATGTATGTCTATAACCATAACTAGCCTAGGGTTGAACTAGTTATGTTAATTAAGGATATCTCAAACAAATTGTTAAAAATGTGAATTAATTTTTAGGTTTTAGTTTAGCCTTAAGCCTCTCATGAATCAAGTCTCTATTACAGCTTTTGTTTGAGAAGAAGAGGAATCACAATTCAAAAATGTTTGTGTGTTGCAGGGCGAGTACTTGTTCATAGGTGCGGGTTTGTTTACAATAGTGTTCTGTATAATAGAGATGGATAAACCAGACAAGCCACACAACTTTGAGCCTCAAATTTACAAAATGGAGAGAGGAGCTCGTGACAAGCTCATTAATGACTACAACACTATGAGTATTTGGGACTTTAATGACAAGTATGGTGATATCTGGGACTTCACCGTTGAGAAGGATGATATAGCCACAAGATAAGATGTTGACTGTCATAAAAACGTTGACGAAATTTGATGAAAAATGTTTATAAATGATGAATGAAACGTGTTACTGTGTAGAGTTATTAATGTTCTTCTTGGTTATCTTTCTATGCTTTATTACTCCCTCAAACCTTTCTATATTGTCATCTGGTAGTGTTAGGTTTCTGTAATTTCTTTGTTTATACAGTTTACTGCAGCCTACAGAATGCCCTTAAAGCTCTGTATGGTAACGTGCAAACAAATGCGGTACGGTTCTACTAGTAACGAAAATATATAGAGATTTTTGTTATTATTAACTGTTGTGAAATTAATATCTTTTTAAATTGGTGTTCATAAATTCAACTATCGCAATGCTCTCCTCATGATATATGGTGTTTTTAGTATATACTAATAATGTTTTCTAAATTGTTTTTGAGTATTTATCGAGTCGTTTTAGTCATTTTTAAGTCATTACAGGTCTGAAGTTGCTTTGGATGGAAGATGGACCAGTTGGAGGAAAAGAGTACAATTTGATGATTTTCACGAAGAACAGTCTGCTGGACTATTCCCGAGTGAGCGGAGCAACCCGATTACATGTTCCTGCGGCAGAGATTTTTATGGAAACCCTAATTATTTCGGAATTTTCTCTAATTCTCCTATTTTTCCTCTCCAGCCGTCATCAGTCTCCATATATCTTCTTTTCCTCTTTTCTATTATTTACTACGCTACTTTTTACACCAGAAACCAGATTTGAGCTATTGGATTTTTGTGGTTTCAATACTTTGTAATTTTGAGGGAGAAGGATCTCTACAGTCCTTGGAGAAAATTTCTAAACCCTCTTGGTTATTATTTATTGATTCAGACATGTTTTCTTCATCGCTATTCTCTGTGTTTTCTCTGTTCATGGCCGAATAATCTACTTGCTTAGTCTAGGGTGTTAGGGGTGTTTAGATCAACGAGCTAAACACAAATAAGGTTCATTATTTGATTGTCTCCATTCATGTTTATACTTACTGCATGCATTAAACTAGCTACTTAGTGCCTGATTCTAGGTTTAATCTATTCATCAAAAGTGTTTTAGGTTGCTAGAAATAACTTGAATGGGCAGCTCGTCCCTAACCATCGCAAGTAGATGTTAGGGCGTGCTGTGAACTTATCGAATCTGATCTTAATGTTTGCTTTCATGTTTTAGTCCAAACGAGAGTTTAGGTATTAAGGCTGATTGTTAAAAGGGGAGATACCATGAGAGTGGGTCAATCTTTTTTTTCTTTTGAGTTCTAGACTTGTGCTTAGTAAAACCTTGAATAGATGTTTGGCTCATGATCGTTTGACACCCAATCCTTCACCCTAGATTAGCATCTTCAATCATCTGAAAACCTTAAACCAATCTGTTACTTGCTTTTTACGTTTTCTTAATTTTAAAACCCCATATTGTTTTAGCTTAATATTGATCCTATAAAAATAAAGTATAATCTTTGGTCTCTGTGGATTCGATCCTCAAGTACTACACCGAACCTTTTATTTGAGAGAGTAACTTGAAGTTTAATTTGAGCATATCAAATTTGGCGCCGTTGCTGGAGACCATCTTTTTACCTTTATTTTTTGGTTATTTATTTAGTCTAAAACCTCTAACTTGCCTTATCCTATTTATTGAAGCTAATGTTCCCGTAGACATACTCGGAGCAACGCACAAGGAGATTTAGTTACACTGAGAGTTTTATAAAATGATTTCTTGAGTTTTATAAAACGATTTCTCGAGTTTTATAAAACGTATTTTTTTATCCTTTTGCGGGGAGTTTTGGCTATTGATTCTGTCGTACCGATTTTGACCCCAACAGTTATGTAACTGTTAAAATGATGTTAATGTTTATTTGTTGTGTGTTCGTAGTTGTTGGCCTTTGAGGCAATCCCAAGCTTAAGGAACCATTTCCGAGAAAATTTGATTGGTGCACGCCCTGATTGCCCGCGGATGTGCAAGATGGAGTACAAACGCAAAAGTAGAACCAAGGAATTCAGTCTCAATTCTATGAACGATAAACTTGGTACTGATAAAAAGGTGAGATAATTGTGTTAATTTGACTGATGAAAACTTGGTGAAACTATGAAAACTTGGTGACGGGACTTATGAGACTTATGAAAGCTTGGTGAAATTAAGGCAGTTAATGTTTTTTTGTGTATTTGTCACATGATATTGAGAGTATCTGGGTAGCAAAAACAGCTGAGAAGGAACTTCTGGAAACCATAGGGATGGACAAGGAAAGTTGTTGGGCCGATGACTCCGATGATGCAGCAGTTGATCGCTGGACGAAGATATTACAGAAAGGCTCGACACAAGTTTTCTTTAAAGAACAGTTCCGCATCGATTGTGAGGATCGCACAACAAAGCTTAAAAGTCCCACCGATACTATCAGAGGACCATCGAATAATGCGCAATCTGGTAAGGCTCATTCATATTCGGTGGAGGATACTGGACCTGAGGCTTTAAAAGTGATGGATGGTCGGCTTATGAAAGCAGTCAAAGATGCTGTGAAGGATTTGAAGAAAACAGTCTCTTCATTGTCTGACAAGCTAACTCATCTAGAAGACGAAGTGAAAAGTCTTAGGTCGAGTGGTGATAATCCGTCGGAGGAGAATAAGGAGTCGGACGAAGAGGATGATGTTGATAAGGCATTGGAGGAAGAGGATGGTGGTGATAAGGAGAGTAAGGAGTCGGAGGAAGAAGATGATGTAAATAATTACATTCGCGATGTTACAAACGAAGTGCAGAAGGAACATGGTGATGTTGATGATAACATGGATGAAGATACTGCACAGATGATTGGTCATGCTGAGAAGCATGAGAAGGCAGAGGCTGAGAAGGCAAAGAAGGAAAAAAGAGGGGGAGAATAGATGATGGAAAAGAAGCAGAGCCTTCAAAAAAGGCAAAGGGTTTAGGAAAAGTGAGGAGTCCCGTTAATACAAGAAGCATGGGTTTTGGGAGGGAGAAGGGAGCGGAGGAGGAGGAGGCAGCAGAGGAAGAGGTAGCAGAGGAAGAGGCAGCAGGGAAGAAGAACATAGGTGCAAAGAAGGCAGCTGAGAAGAAGGCAGCAGCTGAGAAGGAGGCAGCTAAGAAGGCAGCAGCTAAGAAGGCAGCCCAGAAGAAGCCACCCCTGAAGCTGAAGAAGAGTAAGACAAAGAAGGTAGGTAAGAAGACGGAGTGAAATCTGTTTCTTGTTGTTTTAATGTGGTTGAACTCTATTCGGTTTGTATGACATATTTGAATTTCCGTATGACTTGCATGTTTGTTGTTTAAAACTTAAGTTATTTAAGACTTGTGTGTGTTTAAGAGGGATATTGGGAGAAACTTTCAAAGTTTCACTTCCAACTTAGCCTAACTTCGTAAACCTAACTTCGTTAACCTAACTTCCTTCGAAAATCTCGAAAAAGAGGGATATTGGGAGAAACTTTCAAAGTTTCACTTCCAACTCAGCCTAACTTCGTAAACCTAACTTCCTTTGAAAATCTCGAAAAAGAGGGAGATTGGGAGAAACTTTCAAAGTTTTACTTCAACTTAGCCTAACTTCGTAAACCTAACTTCCTTTGAAAGTCTCGAAAAAGAGGGAGATTGGGAGAAACTTTCAAAGTTTCACTTTCAACATAACATAGGATGAGTTGAATGCCAAGTACATAACGAATAGTTCATAACGTAACTGAAATAGATAGATGTTCGGGTGAACATAACATAGAATCCATAAATGCATAAGATGAGAGCTTGGTAAAAGAGGAACATAATCCGAATCTCATGGAGTGGTAGGATTCGGACGGGTAAGCTTATACTTCAGTTCATACTTCAGTTCGGCAATCATCGCATCCACACGCTTCCTTAACATTTCGACCTCTTCCTGGACTCCGAAGACCCATGGTTGATGGAAATGGAAGCCATCATTCTACACGTGAAATGGAAAAGTATCAAAAATCTGCACATAAATAAAACCCGAAAGTATCCACAAATTACATCAAAAATTTTGCAAGTGAAGTATTTTCTCCTCGGTAAAGTATCAAAATCGGTTGGATACTTCGGGTCCCGAGACACCTCGTTGATGATTCTACCTCCACAAGGGCATCTGGTCGGAATCCCACACTCAACATCCGCCACGAAGCCACGGATGTTGCATTCTCTCTTCAAAGCCTTCATCTCCCTACACCCCTCGTCTGGATGAGTCATGATTTTGAGTAATCGAGAATTCTAGAAAGAAGAGGGACAGAATACAGATCTGAGTTCTCGCCAAATCAATCTAGAGAGAGAATGAATAAATGGGTGAAACAGAAAAATAATGGCTTTAATACATACATGTCTATGTCGATTTTGGGAAAAATTTGTAAATGATTTTCGTGCTTAAAGTTTCACTTGGTTTGTAGTTATACAAAAACCTTTTAAGTTTTACTTTTCTGTCTTTTTGCGATTTTGTTGGTTTTACTGTACTTAGATGATTAATTTTATGGTTATACCAGCTATATTCTGTTTTATATGAACGTTTTAGATGTGTCAGTGTAGAAAACAATTTGTTTTCGTGACATATGTAACTTTTCTAATCCCACAATGTAGTGTATACAAAAAAAAAAAATCTAACAATGATGTATTCCCTTCCCAATTGATAGAAAATGTGATCCAGATTATAAAAAATTTTCAATCCACGTGATACGAATCTCAGAACATGTTGAATAAGTTACGTCATATTCCTTAAACATAATTAAGTAATGTCATCACATGTGTAATTACTCCAAATCAACAATAATAACACAAGTTTCACCAAGTTATAGAATTATATATCGCAATAACTTTAATTAGGTTTCACAAAGTTTCACATTAACATAACGCATGTTTTCAAAAAGTTTTTGAAGATTTCCTCTAGTTTCACCAAGTATTACACTCACAATCAACTCATGTGTTCACTGTCTTGGGTGCCTTGAGTGCCTTGAGTGCCTTGAGTGCCTTGAGTGTCCTGATTGCCTTGAGTGCCTTGTGTTTCTCGTGATCCTTGAGTGCCTTGAGGGCCTTGTGTTTCTCTTGATCCTTGAGTGCCTTGTGTTCCCCGTGATCCTTCTGTTCCTTGAGTTCCCTGCGAGCAGTTGAAATAGCTTGCCAAGCCAATATCCGGGTTATCTTTAATACGACGGGGACGTGGCCGTCTTTCTCCTGCCGAAGGAAACCTGTTTTCCTGATGTCTTCCTTTTTTTTACGTACTCTGGAGGTAAGGGACACTTATCCAAGATTTCTTTGGAACCATCCAATCAGACATATGAGGGAGTGGATATACAGTCCTTCGATACGCCAAAGCCCACACTCTAATGAAGTAATAATCGGAGACGAAATCATACATGTCACTCACCTGTATTGGTCTATCATGCTTCAAACACTTAATGATAGCGCCTATTGCATGTCTACACGGGTATTTATCTATATCAAACTTCCTGCAACTGCACGTTTTCTTGTGCAAATCCACCAAATAAGTCTTCCCATCTTCTCCAATAACACGGTATTCAAGCTGAAAAGTGTTCAGCGGAATCACATCAAGTCTTGAACCTTTCGGTGTTCTGTCATGGATTTTGTTCCCCACTAAAGGAATTTTCGAGATGCCGGTCCGGCTGCTGCATCCTTCCTATGTCTGTTGAACCACTCAGCCATTTTGTCAGTAACTGTATCAAGCATAGGCAATAAAGACATGCTTCACGCCTTTTTAATAGCGCATTCAAAGACTCCGCACAATTAGAGGTGTCTATGTTGTACCTTTCACCAGGGAAATGGCACTTCGCCCAATTTTTGACATCGGCAGTTTCATCAACATACTCACCACACGCTTGATACCTCTCCCTAAAATCTTGCAACTGCATTTCAAACTCATGCTCTGAATAAAGACATGCAATTTTTTCTGAATTGTTTCGCAACTTCGTCCCTCCCATGTCTGACATGACCTTTCACATTGTGCGATAGATGCCAGATGCAATACCCACGTTTAGACAGCGGATACACTTCAGCAACAGCGTTTATCAGACTTGCATTTCTGTCTGAAACAAACACCAATTCCGTCGAATCTGGAATAACAGTTTTCAGCGTCGTGAAAAACCAATTCCAGCTTTCTTTTTTCTCCCCATCAACGACACCAAAAGCAATTGGATAATGGTGAAGGTTTGGATCCTGAGCCGTGGCAATAACTAAACAACCACCTTCAACAGTCTTCAGGAAAGTTGCATCCACAATGAAGGCTCCAAACGGAACAAATAGGTATTTGAACCGCTTGTGTTCATCCAGTAACAAACTTGTTTTTGTATCCGGGTTCACCTTCTCTAACATATACAAATAAGAAGGCAATATTTTTTATCCTTTCTCGGGATCACCACGCAAATCCGCAACAGCTTGATTTTTTCCTCTCAAACATGTCGTATACGACACTTCCACACCCAATTTCCTTTTCACCAAACCGAGCAGGGTTTTCGCAGTTGGTGTCTCATATAGTCCCGGATAATCCTTGTGTACTATAGATGCAACACATCTTGGGGTAAATTTCCTTTTGACTCCAGTACATGAAGTTGCGCGAGAGCATGAATGCATCTTCATGTATGTTCTAATCCTGAACACTTCAGAATTATTGATCTTTGTAGCTCTCACAACCCATTTACAACCTTCAGCTGCTAACTGACATTTTACCACATATAGACTCTTGTCCGAGTTGGAGATACTAATTCCGAAACAGTTCAGCTGTGATGCTCTATCAATCATATCTTTCACAGCTTCTTTACTTGGAAATTCTTGTAATAACTCAATACCCAAACCATCTTCCCACTCTTTAACCACTGGAATTTCTTTTGCAACACGTGGGAGCTCAACATAGTCCCAAACAGGACGAACATCCATGGAGTTATCCACGTCGCGCTTATTGTCAACGATGTTGTCCATACCAATGCCCCTTCACCGGCTTCTCCAATAACAACATTAATGCCTCTTTCGCCGGCTTTTCCATTAATAACATCAATGCCCCCTTCCTTTTCCTCTGCTTCTCTAGTAACAAAATTCTCCACCCCTTCAGCCTCTGGTAGATATAGTTCTGCTTCTTCAACTTCGGGTAATCCACTCGCAAGTTCACTATAGTTCCCACCATATGAGCTTTCTTTCTCAACTACTGATTGTTGCTCCATTACTGGAACTATTTGCATTCCTTCGATGACCTCTACATGCAAAGTACTTCTTCTTCCCTCTTTATCCACTGATGTTAGATACACAAACACATCTTCATCATCCAATATATATGATTGCCTCTTAGGTTCTACTACCAGTGGAATGTAACTCAGATTCAACCTCTTTAAAAACGGATCTATGCTCTTCTTCTTGCATATCCTCTCCTTCAAAAACGAATGAGTGATCTCATCCAATGATGATGTCTTAAAGGATATACCATACAAACGACCATCGCTTGGAATCCATTTATAATCATCACCAGATTTCGCATAATGTCCATCATAGTCAAAGTGTATGTTTGTAGAAGATTAACCCATTATCTGTTGTACCAAATAAAAATTATACAATTAAAGTTAATCTGAGCTATACAGTTTTGCTGTTGAAGTAAAATAATAAGTTATACCCTTTTACACATTTTTGTCAAGAGTAAAGTTTCAACACTTTTATAGTATGGAAGTTAACTCAACTAGTATGAATTTTATTAATTATTATCACAACCATACAAAACTTTTTTTTATTACTACCTTTTTTCTAATACCCAGCGTGCCCTTTTTTTATGTTGTGAGAAAAAACATATTTACGAGAATGCCATTACTTTTTTGTGCCACGTAGGCAAAAAATCGGGTCCACGTAAGAATGCCGCATAAAACTCAGCCTCAATACGATATGAACTTCG